TAAAAATGGAACTCCCATTTGACCCAGTGATCCCACTTCTAGGAATATATCCCAAGAAACCAGAAACACCAATCAGAAAGGATATATGCACCCCTATGTTCATAGCAGCACAATTTACCATAGCTAAGATTTGGAAACAGCCTAAGTGCCCATCAGCAGATGAGTGGATTAAGAAACTGTGGTACATCTACATGATGGAATACTATGCTGCTGTAAAAAAGAAAGACCTCCTACCATTTGCAGCAGCATGGATGGACCTGGAGAGCATTATGCTTAGTCAGAGAAAGATAAATATCACAAGATCTCACTCATTTGTGGAATATAATGAACAACATAAACTGGTGAACAAAAATAGACCCAGAGACAGAGAAGCATCGAACAGACCATTAAACTTCAGTGGGAAGGCAGCGGGGGTGGGTGGCGAGGGGAGGGTAAAAGATCAACCAAAGGACTTATATGCATGCACATAAGTATAACCAATGGACACAGACACTAGGGGTGAGGGCATTTGCTGGGAGGTGGGGGTGGCCGGGGAGAGGTCAATGGGGGAAAAAGGAGACATATGTAATACTATATGTAATACTTTAAATAATAAAGAATTTTTTAAAAAGTAACACACCAAAACTTGTATAAAGACCTGACAGAGGTTTTAGCACCCTGATTTTTCCTTCTGTTGCTCCCTCTTTGACTCCTGCTCTCTCTGCAATTGTGTCTCCCTCCCTTTCCACTGTTTTCCTTTCCCAGTGTTTATTCCTTATTCCCTTTCCCCCAAATGTATGGCCTGTGAAAGCCTACTTTGAACAAAATCACTGTTGAATCCTGAACTTTGATTTTCTTGTTCTTGATATAAAGTTTGTCAGTTTATGCCCTTAGAAGTCTCTCTTTCTCTCAACAAAAGAACCGACTAAAGGAAATTATTTTTATTTTCCTGTTGCTCTTGGCTGATTTTCTTGTGTGCATCAGAGACTTTTAAAACGTTCCCAACTCTAGATCCAAGAAGCTCAAAAAATGATTGAGGCCAAAATAAAATATTCCCCTCTTTCAAAGGGGAGCGCAGGATCACAGGCCTCACCAACTACTGGGGAAGGAATCCGGGATTCTGGAGCCCTAACCAGCAAGACTTCCATGGTCACCACAAGCTGCTGCTCTGTCTGCCCCTGACATCACCGAGGCCCTTAGCTAGCAGGTTAGCTCCAGGATGGTCATAATGATTGGCAAATACCATTGCACTCCCAGATACACATCCGGGCCTCCTCAGACCCGCCCAGGACCCCTGCCCCAACCTACTCACAATCAAGAGTAAAGGCTTGGCCCACTAGAGGGTTGCCAGCACCCTGCCATAACACTCTCAACCCAGGACATAACCACACTCCACCTTAATTTCCTCTTCCGAAAAATAAGGGAGTTCAACTGATTGTCTATGTTACACTCCGACTGCAATGATATCAAATCATTGATCCCTAAGGATAAGGACAAGATAGGAATATAGCAATCTGGAAAAAAAGTTTATTTGTTAGAAGGGTGGAGTCTCAGGTTTCATTTTTCTGGTGATAGACGTCTCAAAATTCTGGATTCAGGCTTCCAAAAAAAAAAAAAGGTTTATTTGTTAGAAGGGTGGAATCTCAGGTTTCATTTTTCTGGTGAAAAATGACGTCCATAGATGTCTCAAAATTCTGGATTCAGTCTTCTATTTGTTAGAAGGGTGGAGTCTCAGGTTTCATTTTTCTGGTGATAGACGTCTCAAAATTCTGGATTCAGGCTTCCTGGAATGGCCTTATGATCTCACTGTGCCTCGATTACCTCATCTATAAAATGGGATGATCACATTTACTTTCAAAACAACCTTGTGTTCAATGTGCTCATGTTGTAAAATGCTTGGCGTAGTGTCAACACAGTAAACACCGTATAAGTGTTGATTAAATAAGCAAATCATTTTATTCTGTAGCTGCAATGTTTGTAGCATAAATTCAAAAATTTAAGAAACGTTCACAACAGAAGGGAAAAAAAGAACTGTGACGCTATGAAACTTGTATATCACATGCACTGTTGTTTAATAACCCAGCACTAAAACATCTGGGGTCCAGACTCCACAGTGCACTGTGAATTTAGGGAAACTAACACATTGTAATGCATTCCCACTGCAACATAAGATAACAATTTGCATGATTCCTTTTCTAATCAGAAATGCCACAGTTGCTCATGGGAAACTTAGGTTAGGAGTTTCTCATTTTAACCCTGCAACTACATTGAACCACGCCCGGCAGGAGAATACATTTTATTTTGTGGCGCCAAGACTTAAAGGATTGTAAACTTAAAACCAGGCCTAGCGCAGCTGCACTTCTTTAGTGAAAACAATGACCCAGACTAAAGGGAAGCTTAAAGGGCCATATCTTACATGCTGAGTCCCCCTGCGTGAATCCTCAGTAAACACCTAGAATGGAGAGGACATTGCTACACCCACCTGCTAGCTGGATCAAAACTGCTTTTGCTTACTAAATGGGTGCCACAACCTGAACTCACGCATAATTCAGACAGGTTGCTACTGCACTGCTAAAGGAGACAAAGTATTCCAGTTTTCCATTAGATATTAAAGGGAGAAAACTATCAAAACCCCCTTACCTGTTTCTCCCTCTGGAGAGCTAACCCTCACCATACCTTTACATACAAATTGAAAGAGTTCACAAGCTTATTTTAGAATAATAATGTATTAGAACTTCCCGAATGGAGATAAGCGTCACTAAACACAGTCTAGTGATGGTGTTTCACCTTCCTCTTTAAAAGTGCATTTCAGCTTTGGGAAGAGATGCGGACCTTGCTTAGTGAGAAAACTAAAGCCTGCAATGCAATCATTACCATTAAAATGTTATTAAAACCCAACAAGAACATTTTTAAAAATACATTTTTTATTGATTTCAGAGAGGAAGGGAGAGGGAGAGAGAAAGAGGAACATCAATGATGAGAGAGCATCATTGATCGACTGCCTCCTGCATACCCCCTACTGGGGATTGAGCCCAAAACCCCAGGGCATAGAATGGAATCTAATGGTGACCTCCTGGTTCATAGGTCTACACTCAACCACTGAGTCACACTGGCCGGCCTGACAAGAAATTATATGAAAGAATGGCGGTGATGTCCGCAAAACCATGGGAAGGCACTTAATGCTGCTGAATTATATGCTTAAAAAAGATTAAGATGGCAAATTTTATGTGTATTTTACCACAATGAAAACAAAGTAACTTTTTAAAAAACCTGTAAGAGTGAAAGATGAATGGATTTTATAACAAACAATTTTTTATTAAGAAACACACACACAGCCTTGTCTGATGTGGCTGAGGTGGTGGAGTGTCTCACATTCACCTGCAGGTCAGCAGGTTCCATTCACTATCAGGGCACATGCCTGGGTTTCAGGTTTCCGGCTCGATCCTCAGTAGGGGGCGTGCAGGAGGCAGCTGATAGATGTTTCTCTCTCTCTCTCAAATCAATAAAAACATATATATATGAAAAGAAACACACACTTAGTCAACTTCCAAGCAGCACAGTCCCCACCAAACCTAAATGAGCACCATGGTTCATACATATTCTGACACCAGAAACAAATATGGGAAATATTTGTCCCTGGTGTCCCTTAACTACTCACACTTTTTGTATGGATTGTGAATTATACTAGGTCCTGAGAAGACCAATTGGGAGCTCAAACAACGAATTAAAAGGTTCCCAAACAACACTTGAGTTTGTACTAAGGCTGAGTCCAAACTCAAGCTAAAAGCCTGTGTACAAATTCACTTGTATGTATGTGACAAAACATTGACTCCTTAAAGAGATCCTGATTCAGAGAGGCAGTGTGTAAATATGGGGTCTGTTAACCATGCATGCTTTCCCCTCTTTATTCTTCAGGCTCTCATTGCACACCATGAACTAGCCCGTTTCACAAAGCACGGAGGTCTCCCGGAGGCCTGCGAAGGCCCACAGAGGGTTATCTAAACCGAAATTGGCAGGCCTGGCAGATAAGGTTAACGGAACTCGCCACTCTGGGGAAAGACGTAGGAGGGATCAAATGCAGAAACCCTGATGGTCCTTACGAATGGACTTGCATTTAGCACTTCAGAGAGGAAGGAAAGGCGGCAACGACCCGAGATTAAGAGAAGGCGCAAATAAACATAGGCGTGGCGGCAGCCCTGGAACGATTCTACAAGGCCAGTTCTGGAGGGCGTTACGAAATCCCGTCAAAACTTGGAGCCCCGCGCTCCCGCAGCTGAGACCGGGATCGCAAATAACTTTGAGTTGGAGCGAGAAAAACGGGCCCCGCTCCAGGCCCCCGTGTCCCCTGTCCCGTGCTCCGCCTCGGCGTCATCACCTCCTGGCGCCACGGCGAGCAGCTGGGTGGCCGCACGCCCAGGACTGTGTGTCTTGCAGGCTGGGCTCTCAGCCTGGGGACGCAGCACTTCCCGGCGCGCCCGCCACCCCTGTCACCCCAC